TGCATAAAAATACATGAATTGCTCAGGACAGCCCAGGGCCATCCGCTACACGTGTATAGACCTGGTACGTTCCCACCACACTTCCCTACGTTGCGTACATTCATTCCAGTCGCTGGTCAAGAAGCAAGTGGACGTTACATATAAAGGTCCTGGAATTTTAGGCGGGGTTTCTTGTCTGCCAGTCCAGAGACAGATAACTACTGCATACTATTATGGGTGGACAACATGTCTACAATTCAGTATGTTTATCCCTTAGGAGGCATTCACTACAAGGCCTTAGCGAACATGGTGCAGTGTGTCTATGACAATCCATTTCTACAGCAACTTGTAATTTACCTTATGGCTCCCACCAATTGAAAACTTGGCACACTGGTTTCCCTATCATTTTCTGGTATGGATACTTGTGGCGAAAGTCACCTCGCCACAGGCTCTTGGAGGGGCCTGCTGGCCAGCCATGTGCCAAAAGACTATGGGTCCTTTAAAAACGTATGTGAGTTATGTACTTGTGTACTCAAGAAAGAGAGACCGACCGTTAGCCCTAATTCCCTGCAACTGTTTTGGGCATAGGACCATGTGTACGGTCGGTCAAAACTATGACTTCCATGGAAAGTCAAAATTTATGTTTTCTGTGCCTGAAGATAATTGAGTTTAGTACAGTTCCTGACTCAATTGTTAGAGGGGATTGTTACTCATTATACTCCCTTCGATTATAATCTCTACCTCTGGAGTAGGAGAGGTCTACCCACTGGAAGCTGGAACATGGTCTTTGGTTGTGGCTGAAGGACAGCGAAACCCCAGCCAAGCTGTAACACTGGCCACGGGGACTGCAGTGGTTATGGTGCCGGGTGGAGTGCTTGGAAGTACTCAGAGTTACTAGGAAGCAGTGATTGGCGGAGGCACCCAGTCGGGGTGCCAGGCGGTCCGCCACAGGCAATACCGTATAAACATTAACCGTGTGATGCCAGCAGGACAATGCCGTATAAACATTAACCATGCTATGCAAGGAGGACACTACCGTATAAACATTAACCGTGCGATGGCAGCTGGGCAATGCCGTATAAAAATTTTACCGTGAAATGCCAGCAGGGCAACACTTGTGGCGGATCGCTTGGCATCCCGCCCGGGTCCCATGCCCAAAACAGTTCCATAGAATCAGGGTTTGCGGTCAGTCTAGTTCAGTAGTTTGGAAAATGAACACTGGAGCTTGTTCCCCTCATCCAGACGAACAATTTCACCGAACAGTGCCCTTCTAAATTGTATAGAACCGAACGCTGGCGATGATGGAAGTCCAGCGGTGTTTGGGAGTTTCCATGAGATTTTAGTTTAGTTCCATGAGATTCGTGCCCAAACACCGCTGCCTGCGTTCATGCGAACAAGATTGCCGCAACCCATGGTTGTCCATAGGAATTACGGCTACCAAGACGAACAATTAGAACACTGCGATGAGAACCGTTCTTAGGTGTGAATAGGTGTTAACAAGCTCCCGGGTGGTCCCTGGTTTGTGCGATTGTTCGGTAGTATAGGAACAGAATATCAAAAGGGCACGAACAAGGTCTTTTATGAGCCTTTTTGCACGGCCCATAGTCCTGAGGCAGGAGGCTAGCAAACAGGCCCCTCCAAGAACTAGTGGCAAGGTTACTTTCACCACAATACCGTATAAACATTAACCGTGCGATGCCAGCAGGACAATACTATATTAACATTAGCCGTGCGATGCCAGCAGGACAATACTGTATAAACATTAACCGTGCGATGCCAGGAGGGCAATGCCGTATAAACATTAACCGTGCGATGCCAGCAGGACAATACTGTATAAACATTAACCGTGCGATGCCAGGAGGGCAATGCCGTATAAACATTAACCGTTTGATGCCAGCAGGCCAATGCCGTATAAACATTAACCGTTCGATGCCAGCAGGCCAATGCCTGTATAAACATTAACTGTGCATTGCCGTATAAACATTAACCGTGCGATGCCAGCAATCAATACCATATAAACATTAGCTGTGCAATGCCAGCAGGACAATACTGTATAAACAGTAACCGTGCGATGCCAGGAGGGCAATGCCGTATAAACATTAACCGTTCGATGCCAGCAGGCCAATGCCGTATAAACATTAACCGTTCGATGCCAGCAGGCCAATGCCGTATAAACATTAACTGTGCATTGCCGTATAAACATTAACCGTGCGATGCCAGCAATCAATACCATATAAACATTAGCTGTGCAATGCCAGCAGGACAATACTGTATAAACAGTAACCGTGCGATGCGATGCCAGATGCCAGGGCAATGCCGTATAAACATTAACCGTTCGATGCCAGCAGGCCAATGCCGTATAAACATTAACTGTGCATTGCCGTATAAACATTAGCCGTGCGATGCCAGCAGGACAATACCATATAAACATTAGACGTGCGATGCCAGCAGGACAATACCATATAAAGATTAACCGTGCGATGGCCAGAATGGAGGTTAGACTGGGGATGCTGATTGTGATACCACTTAGAAGGTGGTTTGGTAGTGTTAGTGGTGACGGCGAGGGCTGTGAGGCTCTGTGTGTTATGGGAAGTTCTGCTATTGTATTCAGACTTTGTGATTAGATTTGTAAATCAATAATCAGAGTAACAGAATGATGAATTGATGTTTTTCTTGTATTAAATCAGTCTGTGGTTCTTAACGCTGCAACAAATAACATTATCTCCACCCAAACCCTTGTAAAGCTGTTATAATATATTGAAGAAGAGTGAGAACATACATTATGGTTTATATATCTAATATAACTTTTACAGAGCTCACTAAACCATTTTTACCAGCTTCAACACAAAATAGAGACCATGCCCCTAAAAAGCAGTGTGAACACCCCACAATATCTTTGTCAGAAAACTGCATGCTAGACTCAGTTAAAGCCCATCTCCTAATAAAAGGACATCAACTGATACCATTTGCATTATGTTACAGAGACACCTTGCAACATCAATGGCCACCATATACATCATATGACACCAGGGGTTATTCAAAACCAACTGACACAATCTGCATCAAGTGACACAGCGAGTTATCCAAAACCAACTGACACAATCTGCATCAAGTGACACAGCGAGTTATCCAACACCAACTGACACAATCTGCATCAAGTGACACAGCGAGTTATCCAACACCAACTGACACAATCTGCATCAAGTGACACAGCGAGTTATCCAAAACCAACTGACACAATCTGCATCAACTGACACAATCTGCATCAAGTGACACAGCGAGTTATCCAAAACCAACTGACACAATCTGCATCAAGTGACACAGCGAGTTATCCAAAACCAACTGACACAATCCACATCAAGTGACACAGCGAGTTATCCAAAACCAACTGACACAATCTGCATCAAGTGACACAGCGAGTTATCCAAAACCAACTGACACAATCCACATCAAGTGACACAGCGAGTTATCCAAAACCAACTGACACAATCTACATCAAGTGACACAGCGAGTTATCCAAAACCAACTGACACAATCTGCATCAAGTGACACAGCGAGTTATCCAACACCAACTGACACAATCTGCATCAAGTGACACAGCGAGTTATCCAACACCAACTGACACAATCTGCATCAAGTGACACAGCGAGTTATCCAAAACCGACACAATCTGCACCAAGTGACACAGCCAGTTATCCAAACCAACTGACACAATCTGCATCAAGTGACACAGCGAGTTATCCAAAACCAACTGACACAATCTGCATCAAGTGACACAGCGAGTTATCCAAAACCAACTGACACAATCCACATCAAGTGACACAGCGAGTTATCCAAAACCAACTGACACAATCTACATCAAGTGACACAGCGAGTTATCCAAAACCAACTGACACAATCTGCATCAAGTGACACAGCGAGTTATCCAACACCAACTGACACAATCTGCATCAAGTGACACAGCGAGTTATCCAACACCAACTGACACAATCTGCATCAAGTGACACAGCGAGTTATCCAACACCAACTGACACAATCTGCATCAAGTGACACAGCGAGTTATCCAAAACCAACTGACACAATCTGCATCAAGTGACACAGCGAGTTATCCAAAACCAACTGACACAATCTGCATCAAGTGACACAGCGAGTTATCCAAAACCAACTGACACAATCCACATCAAGTGACACAGCGAGTTATCCAAAACCAACTGACACAATCTGCATCAAGTGACACAGCGAGTTATCCAAAACCAACTGACACAATCTACACCAAGTGACATGTTTAGCTGTTCAAATCACTAACCTTATCAATAATCTGTACTCAAGTGACACATGAAGTTATCCAACACCAACCATCACAATCTACACCCGCGACACAGCGAGTTATCCAAAACCAACTGACACAATCTGCATCAAGTGACACAGCGAGTTATCCAACACCAACTGACACAATCTGCATCTAGTGACACAGCGAGTTATCCAACACCAACTGACACAATCTGCATCAAGTGACACAGCGAGTTATCCAACACCAACTGACACAATCTGCATCAAGTGACACAGCGAGTTATCCAAAACCAACTGACACAATCTACATCAAGTGACACAGCGAGTTATCCAAAACCAACTGACACAATCTGCATCAAGTGACACAGCGAGTTATCCAAAACCAACTGACACAATCTGCATCAAGTGACACAGCGAGTTATCCAAAACCAACTGACACAATCTGCATCAAGTGACACAGCAAGTTATCCAAAACCAGCTGACACAATCTGTATCAAGTGACACAGCGAGTTATCCAACACCAACTGACACAATCTGCATCATGTGCCAGAGGAGTCCACATTTTTAATAAAAGAGTTTGGTTATTTATCCAACTGATATTCAGATATTATATATAATGGTAGTTTGCTTCAAGCAGTTTCTCTATCTGTGTGCCTGTCTCTCTATCTAGCAATATCTCAATGATCTGTCTAATAAAGTCACTCTCTCTCTCTCACAATGATCTGTCTAATAATGTCTCTCTCTATGTCTCACAGTGATCTGTCTAATAATGTCTCTCTCTATCTCTCACAATGATCTGTCTAATAATGTCTCTCTATCTCTCACAATGATCTGTCTAATAATGTCTCTCTGTCTCTCACAATGATCTGTCTAATAATGTCTCTCTATCTCTCACAATGATCTGTGTAATAATGTCTCTATCTCTCACAATGTTCTGTCTAATAATGTCTCTCTGTCTCTCACAATGATCTGTCTAATAATGTCCCTCTCTATCTCTCACAATGATCTGTCTAATAATGTCCCTCTCTATCTCTCACAATGATCTGTCTAATAATGTCTCTCTTTATCTCTCACGATGGTCTGTCTAATAATGTCTCTCTATCTCTCACAATGATCTGTCTAATAATGTCTCTCTATCTCTCACAGTGTTCTGTCTAATAATGTCCCTCTCTATCTCTCACAATGACCTGTCTAATAATGTCCCTCTCTATCTCTCACAATGATCTGTCTAATAATGTCTCTCTTTATCTCTCACGATGGTCTGTCTAATAATGTCTCTCTATCTCTCACGATGGTCTGTCTAATAATGTCTCTCTATCTCTCACAATGATCTGTCTAATAATGTCTCTCTGTGTCTCACAATGATCTGTCTAATAATGTCTCTCTATCTCTCACAATGATCTGTCTAATAATGTCCCTCTCTATCTCTCACAAGGATCTGTCAAATAATGTCTCTCTATCTCTCACAATGATCTGTCTAATAATGTCTCTCTGTCTCTCACAATGATCTGTCTAATAATGTCTCTATCTATCTCTCACAATGATATGTCTAATAATGCCTCTCTTTATCTCTCACGTTGATCTGTCTAATAATGTCTCTATCTCTCACAATGATCTGTCTAATAATGTCCCTCTCTATCTCTCACAATGATCTGTCTAATAATGTCTCTCTATCTCTCACAATAATCTGTCTAATGTCTCTCTATCTCTCACAATGATCTCTCTAATTTGTCTCTCTCTGTAGCAGTCTTGCTCAGTCTACCATTCTGTCTCTTTCTTGTTATGTTTCTGTATGTTTCCTGTCGTGTCTCTGTGTCTTGCAACGTGTGTTCCTCTGTTTCTCGTTATGTTTCCTGTCATGTCTCTGTGTCATGCAATGTGTGTTCCTCTGTTTCTGTATGTTTTCTGTCATGTCTCTGTGTCTTGCAATGTGTGTTCCTCTGTTTCTTGTTATGTTTCCTGTCATGTCTCTGTGTCTTGCAATGTGTGTTCCTCTGTTTCTTGTTATGTTTCCTGTTATGTCTCTGTGTCTTGCAATGTGTGTTCCTCTGTTTCTGGTTATGTTTCCTGTCATGTCTCTGTGTCTTGCAATGTGTATTCCTCTGTTTCTTGTTATGTTTTCTGTCATGTCTGTGTCTTGCAATGTGTGTTCCTCTGTTTCTTGTTATGCTTCCTGTCATGTCTCTGTTTCTTGCAATGTGTGTTCCTCTGTTTCATGTTATGTTTCCTGTCATGTCTCTGTTTCTTGCAATGTGTGTTCCTCTGTTTCATGTTATGTTTCCTGTAATGTCTCTGTGTCTTGCAATGTGTGTTCATCTGTTTCTGTATGTTTCCTGTCATGTCTCTGTGTCTTGAAATGTGTGTTCCTCTGTTTCTTGTTATGTTTCCTGTCATGTCTCTGTTTCTTGCAATGTGTGTTCCTCTGTTTCATGTTATGTTTCCTGTCATGTCTCTGTTTCTTGCAATGTGTGTTCCTCTGTTTCATGTTATGTTTCCTGTTATGTCTCTGTGTCTTGCAATGTGTGTTCATCTGTTTCTGTATGTTTCCTGTCATGTCTCTGTGTCTTGAAATGTGTGTTCCTCTGTTTCTTGTTATGTTTCCTGTCATGTCTCTGTTTCTTGCAATGTGTGTTCCTCTGTTTCATGTTATGTTTCCTGTCATGTCTCTGTTTCTTGCAATGTGTGTTCCTCTGTTTCATGTTGTTTCCTGTCATGTCTCTGTGTCTTGCAATGTGTGTTCCTCTGTTTCATGTTATGTTTCCTGTCATGTCTCTGTTTCTTGCAATGTGTGTTCCTCTGTTTCATGTTATGTTTCCTGTAATGTCTCTGTGTCTTGCAATGTGTGTTCATCTGTTTCTGTATGTTTCCTGTCATGTCTCTGTGTCTTGCAATGTGTGTTCCTCTGTTTCTTGTTATGTTTCCTGTCATGTCTATGTGTCTTGCAATGCGTGTTCCTCTGTTTCTTGTGTGTTCTGTATTTACATTTTCTGTCTTCGACTCATGATGTTTTTCAGTTTTTCTTTCCTCTGTGCTGTATAATATGTATCGCTTCTCACAGGCCTTGCTCCATCTCTCATTAAATCCCAGAGGAGCTGCAGTATTGGGTTTCTATCTGATCCATTACATTGTGTCCTCCCTACATCTAGAGCATCTCTGGGCTCCTCAAGCATCTCTCTCTAATAGCATCGCCCCTCCTTCCTACTCCAAGACCGCAAACCAACAAACAGACACAAAACTTCCCTAAATCATCCCACCAGACACCTGGGCGTCCCCAACTCTCCATTCTTTATGCTACACCATTATTGATGTCTAATTAGTCTGCTGCAGTCAGATCTGGCTATAACATCTACAGCTATATTTTCATTGCATAGAGGATCTTCCAACCTTAACCACATCAAGCCACCCTTTATACAGCTCTGCCTTCTTCATACTGCGAAACTTCCAACCTTAACCACATCAAGCCACCCTTTATACAGCTCTGCCTTCTTCATACTGCGAAACTTCCAACCTTAACCACATCAAGCCACCCTTTATACAACTCTGCCTTCTTCATACTGCGAAACTTCCAACCTTAACCACATCAAGCCACCCTTTATACAGCTCTGCCTTCTTCATACTGCTAAACTTCCAACCTTAACCACATCAAGCCACCCTTTATACAGCTCTGCCTTCTTCATACTGCGAAACTTCCAACTGCGACCAGATACTGCTACCACAGTATCATTGGGGATCATCGAATCTAGAATCAAACCAGATCCTGCCACACCAATTACAGCTGTGACTCCTTTACATTAGTGGACTCTCTTAACTCAAGCCCAATTCTGTTACTTGCCCCGCAGTCCCCCCAATATTTATGAATCTTGCACCTGTGAAGTAGGAGCTTTCCAAAATCATTACTCCACGACCTTCAAAATTACATATTCTAAACCTCTTTAGATCTTTTCAAACATATCTTATGGATATGCTGAAGCCCCCACAAGAAGAGGAAACCCCACAAAAAGCTTCAGACCTTACAGTATTTGCCAGCAACTCAACTCTCCATGGAATCAGCCATGTCTTCCTACCTGGTGGAGTGACTCCACGACGAGTGTTTTGGGCTTGTGCCTTTTTAGCATCCCTTAGTATTTTCCTTTACCAAGTGGCTGATCGCATCATCTATTACACACAGTACCACCATGTTACAACTTTGGACGAAATGGAAAGTAGTAAGATGACATTCCCAGCTGTTACCATATGTAACTATAATGGCGTTCGCAAATCTGCCATGACCTACGATGACTTACTTGAGGTTGCAGAGATGTTTAAAATTAATAAAGAAGACACTAAAGTGTTGTCAGCATTCAACATGACAACAAAGACTCGTTCTAATGGCAGCCAAATGCCATTTAATGTGACAGAGTTTTACGATCGCACAGGTCACACTATTGATGACATGATGTTGGAGTGCCGCTATCAAAACAAGCCTTGTGGACCTGGTGACTTCACGGTGGTAAGTGACTGGACATAAAAAACCTTCCACTTTTTCACAAATTAAAGGGATTCTACCATGCCAGATCTAATAATGTCCCCTTTAAATGTGTACGTTGTGTAGAAGTATAGACTTGATATTCATACAGATACAATATCGGTGCCCAGGTGCCTCATGTTAATATTCTGTGAAAGAATTTAGAAATAAGGCCTCTCAGTTCAGTTAAACTTGAATACCCAGCTGATGGAGGTTTTACTATCCAGTTATTTTGTCTGACAGATTCCCTTTAAATCCTCACTCCTTGGAGGTAACCCAGGAGTTTCTGGAGTCCAGATATACAAACTTCTATGTTAAATATATAATTATGTCAGCAGAATGATCCTGTCACTGCCTATATTGTGTGTGTGTGTGTTTATCACATAGTGTGTGCTGTGTATTGTGTGTGTAGCACATTCTATGTATGTGTTTATCACATAGTGTATGTGTATTGTGTGTTTGTGTGAAACATAGAATGTGACGGCAGATAAGAACCATTCGGCCCATCTAGTCTGCCCAATTTTCTAAATACTTTCATTAGTCCCTAGCCTTATCTTATAGTTAGGATAGCCTTATACCTATCCCACGCATGCTTAAACTCCTTTACTGTGTTAACCTCTACCACTTCAGCTGGAAGGCTATTCCATGCATCCACTACCCTCTCAGTAAAGTAATACTTCCTGATATTATTTTTAAACCTTTGCCCCTCTAATTTAAGACTATGTCCTCTTGTTGTGGTAGTTTATCTTCTTTTAAATATAGTCTCCTCCTTTACTGTGTTGATTCCCTTTATATATTTAAATGTTTCTATCATATCCCCCCTGTCTCGTCTTTCCTCCAAGCTATACATGTTAAGATCCTTTAACCTTTCCTGGTAAGTTTTATCCCGCAATCCATGAACCAGTTTAGTAGCCCTTCTCTGAACTCTCTAAAGTATCAATATCCAATAACATAGTGTGTGTCGGGTATTGTGTGTGTGTGTTTATCACACAGTGTGTGTCGTGTATTGTGTGTGTGTGTTTATCACACAGTGTGTGTCGTGTATTGTGTGTGTGTGTTTATCACATAGTGTGTGTCGGGTATAGTGTGTGTGTTTATCACATAGTGTTTGCTGTGTGTGACGAAGTGACCTTCGCCTCTTGCGCCTGGAGAGGACTAATTTGCCAGGCTCCTGCCATGTGACTATGGTCCCTGGGAGACTTTGCCAGTTAAAAAGCACTATTTGGACTTATTTGTGTTTAAAAGACTGGTCTGGCCCTTTAAATGGAACTGGCACAATTCTACAATCTTTACTATGGCACTTCGGATTCAGCCTAAGTAGTCGAAGTGGCCACCATTCGAACACGTGGCGGCGGCCATTTTAATTCAGCTGAAACTACCTTCCCTGGAACTGACTCATTCGACAATTCGAACGCCGTTTGACAATTCGAACGCCTTTCAACAATTCGTTCGACAATCCGAACAGTTGCCGTTCGCCTATTTGAACTATATTTAACATGGGAAATAGACCGGCCGCACAGCCTGATTCTCTGGAACTGTTTTTGGCATGAAAATGTTTGTGCGGTCAGCAGGGGCGTACCTAGAGCATTTGGCACCCGGGGCGGATCCTGTGCTTGGCCCCCCCAAAAAAAAAACCTGTAAAAATTTTTAAAGGTTCTCTTTTTTTTTTTACAATTTGTAAACTTTGCAAAACCGCTGTCAGCCCCTCCTTGTCCTGTCCTGCCCCTCCTACAAAACCTCTGTCCTGTCCCTTCACTACAAATCCTGTAATACTGCCTGGAATCTCTCACCACAAAGCCCACGCACTTGACCCCCTTCCTACAAATCCCCTGCTTATCCCCCCTAATCAAGACTCCTGTCCCAATACAAAACCCCCGCCCCCTTCTACAAAATCCCTGCAGCCCCACGCACACATTTACAGGCAGACAGTCACACACTCAGTTTCAGACAGACAGTCACACACTCAGTTACAGGCAGACAGTTACACACAGTCACAGGCAGACAGTCACACATACACATTTCCTCCGTGCGGCCAGTTTATCAGCTGTTTGCTTGAGTGAGCTGTACTGGCCGCACGGCACACTAACTACCATGGGACACTGTGCGGCCACAGCTCACACAGCTCCCTCCAGCCAGGGCCGGTACAAGGATTTTTGCCGCCCAAGGCAAAAGTAAAGTTTGCCGCCCCCCATGTGACATCACAATGCCCCAGCCATATGATTTGCCATGTTAACTAACGCCAGTGCTGCAGTGCCGCCGTGTTTACATTAAAAGGCCTGCAAGGACAGGCTATAGACACCAGAACCACTACATTAAGCTGAAGTAGTTCTGGGGACTATAGTGTTTCTTTAATGTGAGGTAAATTAGAGCTTAGTGCCACGAATAATATACTAGATTGCCTACTTACAACCAGATGAGGATGATGATGGGCTCTAGCTGCAGTCTGGCTCCACTGGACTGGTGCAGAACAGGCTCTCTGGAGGCGGTTTGTAACTGTGGTCACAAAAATCAATGTTCTGGGAGAACGGGAAGCAGCTCCATTTTTTGGGGGTCCTTTACACAGCTCAAGGTCTGGGTCCCAGAGTCCACCTTCATGTTCCACCAATGAGTTTGTTCACAGGGGGTGGAGTGTGTAGGGGATGTCCTGATATGTGTGTAAGGAATGCATTGTGTGAGATTGTGTTTGTATGTGTAAGGGCTGCAAGGTGTGTTTCTGTGTATGTATGGGATGCATTGAATGTGTGTAAGGGGTGCATTGAGTGTGTGTAATGAATGCATTGTGTGTTTCTGTGTGTGTAAGGGATGCATTGTGTGTAACGGTTGCATTGCTTGTGTATGTGTGTCTGTGTGTGTAATGCATTGTGTGTTTTTCTGTGTGCAAGGGGTGCATTGTGTGTATGTGATGAATGTCAATCTCTCCTCCCGCTCCAATTTCCTTCTCCTCCTCCCAATTTCTCTTTCTCACCCCCCTCCTAATTTCTCTCCCCCCCTAATATCTCTTCCCGCCTCCTAATTTCTCTCTCACCCCTTCTCTCTCCCCCCCTCCTTTCTCTCTCTTCCCCCCTCCTCCTTCTCACCCCCCTTTCTCCTCTTTCTCCCTGTTATTCTCCTCTTTCTCACCCCATTCTCCTCTTTCTCACCCCCATTCTCCTCTTTCTCCACCCCCCCATTCTCCTCTTTCTCACCCCCATTCTCCTCTTTCTCACCCCATTCTCCTCTCACCCCCATTCTCCTCTTTTCTCACCCCATTCTCCTCTTTCTCACCTCCCATTTCTCTTCTTTTCCTCACCCCCCCCTCCCCCTACACTCCCTGCTTAAGTGGCCGGTGGTATAGTCCGGCGAGGGTACAGGGAGCTTTTGTTTCCTGTACCCGGCCGGACTAACAGGAAGTGAACACTCTGTGTGCACTTCCTGTTAGTCCGGCCGGGTACAGGAGACAGCTGCTCTCTGTACCCATCGGACCAGCATGCTGCAGCAAAGGAAGCTGACAGGAGGGAGCGCTGAGCGCTGAGCGCTGAGCGCTTCCCTCCTGTCAGCCCCTCTCCTCAGGCTGCGCCCGGGCGGTGCGGTCCGCCCTCATGGACACACCGCCCGGGCAAAGCTGCAGCCGCCTGAGGCTCTCTACAGAGCGCTCGGGCGGCTGCAGCATGAGGGGGGGGGGGCGGCGGGGCTGGTCATGGCACCCCCCAATCTGCTGGCACCCGGGGCGGACCGCCCCCCCCGCCCCCCCCTTAGTACGCCACTGGTGCTGGGGATGGCTGTGAGGAGATGTGCTGGGGATGGCTGTGAGGAAATGTGATAAGGATGGCTGTAAGGAGATGGGCTGAGGATGGCTGTGAGAAGACATGCTGAGAATGACTGATCAACCACTGATGGTCTTTTGGAGATAAAAAGTATTCCTTTATTAGAAGTTATTCCATAAAATAACGTTTCAGCCCACGTTCGGTGCTTTCCTCAGGATCAACCATCATATTATTTTATGGAATAACTTCTAAAAAAGGAATACTTTTTATCTCCAAAAGACCATCAGTGCAAGCCGTCCTTTACTATATATATATATATATATATATATATATATATATATATATATATATATTTCCATAATAATATGTTTGTTTAGTTCAATATTTCCTGGTCAGAAATATTTACCCACTTACCTAAATGGCTTACAATAAGTCTGACGGTTAAAGGACTGTAGTCGTTATAGTGCCAATAATGCCCTGGCGCCTGCCCTGCTAATTGAAAGCAAACTGTTTGCTATAAGTTTAAAAATGTACCTGGGATCCGCCGTGCAGGGTCAGCCCACTGGCTGAGAGTATCTGCTGATCGCTCTCAGCCAATGATCTAAGTTCTGCTCTTGCCAGGTTTACTTGACGCGGAGAGCTTCTGACTTTCATTAAAAAGATGACTAACACCTGGCGGACCGCAAGTAAGTTGCCAAGCTGTTAACAAAACAGTTTGGCTACTCACATTAGGGGGTGCTAGGGTAGTCCTGCCATCACAATCACTACAGTGCTCGGTAGTAGTTATGGTAGTTGAAGCGTTCCTTTAAATAATCAGTGACATCATCTTCCCATCTCGCAAATGAAACTTAAACAATAATGTCCCCTTTTGTTCATTTAAAAGTTTGATAAGCATGTCATTATAAATGATCAGTGACCGATCAGCATTGGGAATTATGACTTCCTTATTTATTTACTATTTGCATTTTTGTACAAATCCGTGAGACCACTATATTTTTTTTTTCATGATTTCCAGAAAATATTTGCATTACATAGTTTCTTAGTACCATCCTCTAATCATAGAGAAAATGGAATTAATTGTGCTTTATTTTAGTCTGATCCGCAACCAATGAAAAGGGTCTTCTCCATTTTTATTTCCAACCACCATTGGATTTATTGTGTATAAGAAATTATATTAGCCTTCCAGCAGTGAATGGGTCATAATTGGCTCTTCCAATCCAGCTGGATTCAATGCATCATACTCACTATGTAGATATAGTCCAGGACATCAAAGATAACAGCAAAGCAAACAGTAATTGAGAATTTCTTTTATTTTGAATCAACATGATGGAGCAGTATCGGAAATGGAATAAGATAAACTATTTACGTAAGGAAAAAAAAAATGTAAATTACTCCTACCTGAAAGATAACAGGGGTATAAAATCTGACATGTGAGAGGGGGGTCAGATACTGACAGACAAGACCTGCACATTTGACATTTCAGGAGCCTAGTGTAATATACAATGGAATCAGAAGAGTACAGAAGAAGAGGTATGTTATAATGGACTCATCTGAAAATAGAAATAGAAATAGAAATCTAATATTTATATTATAGCATGGGAAAACTTGAGAGCCCGTGATAGTATGCTATAGTATGACCATTTTTATTACTAAAATATATTAAGTAAATATGCCTATTGGAAAATACATTTTGGGGACCCTATGTCCTTTGCTCGGTTCGCAAATGCATAATAGACTGAACCAAGAGGCATTGCATTGATACTCATGACATTATTCACTATACACTGAATGAGAATTAATTCTTGACAATAATTGCTGGTTTGTTTTAGCCTAATATGGTTTGCTTGCTTTAGCCTGAAATTTTGCAATTTAGTTTTCCATCCACTACAATTCAGCCTTTGGTGAAAAATATCCTCTAAGAGGTGTGATTACTTCAAATAGTTTTTTTAAGCTATTGATAGACTTAATTACCTGGATCCGTGCATTTAAAAGTGTTTTTTAAAATAATTTTATGATGATATTTTCCCAGCATACATATATAATCATAAGAGAATAAGGGACTCGTGGATCAATAAATGTGCTGTGTGTAAGTCTAATGTATTTAATATTTTCTTTGTATTACAGTTTACATTTTCTGCTTGTAACAATATTCAGAGGCTTTTGAGGATTACTTTTTTTTTATAGTAAGAAAACTTCAATTTACGAACAAGCAAATATGTAGCAGACATTCTCCTACTCGAGAAGCAAACATTTAAAGGGTTATTTTCTAAATTGAATTTAAAATGTAAGTTCAGAGTAGCCAAACTGAAAGCATAGCTAGCTTCGAAAATATTTCCAACCTGGTTAATTTGGCTTACATTTAAAATTCACTTTGTCCTACCTGATGGTAACCATTCAGATTCATTTAAAACAAGTTATAAACCTATTTACTGTTTCATAGTTATGTTACAATAATGGTAAAATAATAGGACTAATATTAACCACTTTTATTGCGGAGGAGAAGAGGCATTAAATAAAAAGTAATGAAAACTTCAATTTAATTTCATGTATACAAAAGAGAAGTTCATAAATACATGTGAATATCATGTAAAGCATTTACATTTCTAAATTATTCTTCCAGAAATTCTGCATATTTCAACTCAATGGGGGATGCCTTCATTTTACTTTTTTCTTGTTTTTTTTCCTTTCTGTATGCTTTCTAGGATTTTCCCAGTAATAAATTACATAATAGGAATATTCCAATTTAAATGGTGTAAATTAGTAGTGTTATTATCAAAATCTATTTATATACAGGAGCCTAACTATTAAATAAAGTAGATGTGGTTGGTGAACATTTAACAAAGAGTCCAAAGTGATGAAGTTATTGGAAACAAAGTTTATAATGAAATAATTGAAAATCGATGTCTAAGGCTTGTCACACCAGCTCTAGACAAAATGGCTGATTGTGCATCACGGGTTATGTAGTCTACAACAGCAATAGTGCCAGTGGTTTGCCATCTGTGAGATAGAGCAGTTAAGGGTTGGCCAGTCACATATTAGTAATCAATGATTTACATCTTTTTATTTTAGCCTCCTTTCCCTTCTGGGAGCTGTGTTAATCTGTTTATAATTAATGTTATATGCTCGTAAACTGACATGTTTTGTAGACAGTATCATTTTTCGAAACCCTTGGTTAAAAGTTGCTGCTTGAGCTAATAATCGGTATATTATTGCAATCATTGAAATCACCACATTGATAAAACGTGTTAAGGTTTGGTAACAGGCTAATTATAGGCTAGACCCTAGTGCAGGGCTGCCCAAAAGGTAGATCCCCACATGTATTAAAACAACAGTTACCATGATGCTTTGCTATTCTAAAGGCATGCAAAGCATTATGGGTGGTGTAGTTCTACAACATCTGGCGATCTACCTTTTGGGGATCCCTGCTCTAGCGTATATATAGTCTGAATATTTTGTCAAAAAGAAGCCACTAAACCTTACAAAGTTACCATATGCTTTGTGTTCCAAAGACAGCCCAGTACAGGTTTCTAAAATAAATGCTACCATTTACATTAGGGAAGTGAATTTAGAATAATTGTGCTATTTGGCACTTGTGCAGTCGAGATATATGCGATTTTGTTTGTTGCTCTAAACCTATTATTACTGCAAACCATTTGATTGTCCACTGAGTGCATCTTGTCTTCATCCAGGTAAAGAACTGGTAGATTACATTTGTCAGTATCTGAGCACAGTGAGAGACAGGAGGGTAAATCCAGATGTTCAGCCTGGCTATATGAAAGCTCTGCTACCGGAAAATGCTCCTGTGGAATCCGAAAGCTGGGACAATATCTTTAGAGATATTGAGAAGGTCATCATGCCAGGGGTAATGTGAATAGAACTTCGGAGATCATAGGTTTCCCCTAGGGAAATAGACAAAGTAAAATACACCAAGTAACAAACATAATAATAGTACATGTAAATAATAATAAGTATGCTTGGGAATGGTGAACATCGTACATTTTATTGATTTGTTTTTTTGTGTGGATAGAACGAACTAACCATGTAATTACAGCTCTTCACTTGTTACATGTTTACTGGTAATTACGACAGTATCCAGTTTACTGAACAGCACATTTAAGTTCTTATTTTTATTTTAAAAGATCAAAGCATTGTCTACACACCAAGGCCATGTTTTGGTCAGCTGACAATGAATGGTGAGATTTTATTCAGGATCAGTAAAATTATATTTTCACCATAAAAAAAATTCTGTATAAACTACTTTAAAATTGACTTTATTATTAGTAATAATAATAAAAAGAAGAAAAACCTAGCGCTCTTTAGCACTGTACTGAAGAAGCTCACTCAAGGAGACATGAATCTCAAATATTGCTAAGTATCTCCCCAGTATGGCAATATGTCACTTACAGTTCCAGGCTGCTTTTTCAATATAATATTCCATAACTTGTCATTCTTGTGGTCTTGTGGTCCTTATAGTACTGAACACCATGCATATAGAATGCATATATTTGTGTATAAGGAAAACCAAACCCATAGAAACCCATAGAAATAAACAGTTTCATAGTTAATCTAGTAATCACTGTGTATACTGACAGACATGATTCCTCTGTCATTCAAATGTTCTCTGAATGGATTCTCAAACCACTATCTTTATGTGTCTTCCTCCAGGTGGTCCATTGGCAGAGCCCCCATATGCATGCATACTTTCCTGCTCTTACCTCCTGGCCCTCCTTGCTTGGAGACATGCTTGCTGATGCTATAAACTGCTTAGGATTTACATGGGTATGTCGTATAATGCAACACAAAAAGTTATTATTTGGGCTGTAAGCACTTTTCATACATGCTAACAGGTGTTTTTGGTTGCTGAAAGAGGATTTACAGGTTATTGCACCAGGAAACGGTAAATGTTAAATGTCAAGGATCCTCTTACCAGTATTTTCCATTTAGAATGTTCATACATAATAGTAAATGGAAAGAATGAGACTTATACGTTCAAAGTAGATTGTAGTGGAAAATTCCATAGCATTCTTTCACTCGCACACCCATCGACTGATTTTGGGTTCCGTGCAGTGCCAGTTTATTTCATCTAATTCTCAGGGTCACAGATCAGTATTTTGAAGGACACTCATGAATTCCGACTTGTGCAAAGCGAACAACTGCCCCTTGCTCCACCAGTATCAATCCTGAAAAAAGACTGGTTTACTCAACCACCAAGCAACAAAATGAAACTGGCAATATTTCAATACATGACCTGCCTTTGCCAAGTCTTAACAGAGATCTTGCTCAGTCTACTGTCCCAAATCCTCCTGGTAAAAAAAATACACTTGAGTGCTTCCCCGTGCCTGATTTTATTTTATTAACATTGATTTGAAATCACCTTTGTTTCAGTTTATTCACACCCTCGCTGTGACGGACACAGCTTGCATGAAAAAGTAGTTTCATTTTCAATTAGATCTTACAACACGGTGTGTTTTCTTTGGAGGTTTTTATCTCGTGCTCTGTAAATTTTAACTTAAATCACACACAGGTGGCTCCTGAAGGGTCCGACAAGCTATTAACAGAGCAGGAGAAAAGAAATTCTAAATTAAACTGAATTTGCAATAAAGGAAGTATAAACATTAGATGACTCTGTACAGGGCGTGTTTAGGAAGGCTGTGTAAGTCACTTGCAGGGAGCTGTTACTAGGGCTGCATAAACAAAGTCATTTAACTCCTAAATGGCATAGAATTTGGCAGTAAGGCTGCAGGGACATGATGTATACACCAAAGCCTCTCCATTAAACTAAAGTTTTGTTTGGTGCTTATAGTGCCCCTTTTATACTAGCTTACATCTACTGAACTGGCTACTGAAATATAATAACTGATGCCCCTGTTCATGTGACCTGGCTGGAAATATTTTAATCTTTTATCATTTTAGAGTATCGATGTACTTGTGGCTGGCTGTTCACTGTTTCATAGTTTCAGCGGGCTCAGGGTTTGCTCTTTTAGGCAAATGCATAGACATCTTCCTTATATAATATTAATGGACCATTACCACTACACATAGAACAGCTGATATTACATTGTAGACATCAACATGCATCTTTAATCCGTAAATTACATGTTTTAGAATTTAAAATAAATTGTGAGTGGAAATCTACTCCTTGTTTGTGACTGATGACTACATTAGCCAGACCCGCAGATGGCCCCTGACAGACAATCAATATGTGTTAACACAATTGTTAGTTGCCTGTGATATACTCACACTGACTGCCTAGTTGTACATGTGTTTTTGTTAAGGCCTCCAGTCCCGCGTGCACTGAACTGGAGATTAATGTGATGGACTGGCTAGCTAAAATGATGGGTCTTCCTTGCCATTTTCTCCATCACTATCCAAACAGCAAAGGAGGAGGAGTACTGCAAGTAAGTGGTCACTTGGCTTGTTGATATCTTTTGATACAGTATTATGTATTGTTGTGACTGTTAATACTATTTATATTATGAAAACGTTTTAGCAATGAAGCAGTACACAGCTATCCAGAATAGGCATGATGCCACACACATGACACATTTTAGAGATGCAATTTTTCATAAATGCAAATCTTAAGGTTTTGTAGCAGGGATTTCCAAAAGGTAGATCCCCAGATGTTGTAGCACTACAACTCCCATGATGCCTTAGAATGCCTTTAAAATAACAAAACACCTGTAGTTTTAAAACATCTGGGGATCTACCTTTTAAGCATCCCTGTTCTATAGCATTAGCCATGAGTGAGACATCCTTGTAAACATTCTGGGTTTGTAAGCATCTCTATTAGCAAGCAGTTGTAGCTATTGCTGCTCTTAACCATCGCTATCCACTCAGGGTTGTTCACTAAAGTGAGAATTGTCAGAATTAAGGCTATGATTCCAGGTTAGCTACTTTGGCCTTAAATTTGAAAATCACTTTGAATTCCTAACATTTCTTAGTAAACAACCCTGTAAGTAAATTAACTTAATTGCCATTGAATGAAGGAGTAGAATTCCTGGGTGGATAATCACTATACATTTTATCTTGTGCTTTTCTTCAGAGTACTGTGAGTGAATCAACCTTGATAGGTCTACTGGCAGCGAGGAAGAATAAGATTCTTGAGATGAAAAGCTCAGAACCGGAGTCTGATGATTCGCACCTGAACTCCCGTCTGATTGCGTATGCATCTGACCAGGTATGTTCAATAAAAGATCATATGAATTCACAATACTCTATTCAAATGTTCATTGCTGAGCTCTTTTTATGTCACTTGCCATAAGAAACCATTATTATTTTTTTTTAAATAAAAGGTTTTCAATAAATGCTTCAATTTTCATTTCATACTTTTTATTTCATTATTTTTATTTTGATAATAAAACGATTTACGGCCTTGAATTAATATTTTTGGATAAGCTATTCATGTGCTTTAATATTTTTGAATAAACTTTGAAAATTATTTATTATCTGATTTATTATTTGAAAATATTTAGATATTTTTGGGTATATAGCGATATATATATTTTTATATATAAATGATTTTTTTTATATTGTAATATTTTGAAAAGATCATTTTAAAAGTTTATCCAAAAATATTAAATCATTTGAAAAGAGTATCACAAATTTAACAGAGACCAATGTTTTTTAGAATAAGGATAGTGCAGGCATTATTTTTTACACTCAATACTAATAGGAAAATGCATTATGTAAATATCTGAGAGCTTAAATTTCAGGAAAAACAAAGAAATGCCTATCTCACCATTGATACTAGTAAAATGCCCAGCTGGGGCAGTAGAGATCTTCACAGAATGTTTTACCTGCATAAACAAAGCAAACCAGAGTGCTTGGAAGACAATCTGTAAACCAATAACATTGAAAAGTGTAATATGTATCAAATCGGAGATTTCATTCCCACCCTATCAATTACCTTGTGCGTTTTTACCAAAGGCTTCTTAAAGGACCACTATAGTGCCAGGAAAACATACTCGTTTTCCTGGCACTATAGTGCCCTGAGGGTGCCCCTACCCTCAGGGTCCCCCTCCCGCCGGGCTCTGGGGAGAGGAAGGGGTTAAAATCTTACCTTTCTCCAGCACTGGGCAGGGAGCTCTCCTCCTCCTCTCCTCCTCCTCTCTTCCTTCATAGAAAAGTCATCGGTTGAATGCGCATGCGCGGCAAGAGCCGCGCGCGCATTCAGCCAGTTCATGGGAAAGCATTTACAATGCTTTCCTATGGACGCTGGCGTCTTCTCACTGTGATTTTCACAGTGAGAAGCACACAAGCGCCACTAGCGGCTGTCAATGAGACAGCCACTAGAGGCTCTAGAGGCTGGATTAACCCTATTATAAACATAGAGGTTAACCCTAGCTGGACTTGGCACCCAGACCACTTCATTAAGCTGAAGTGGTCTGGGTGCCTATAGTGGTCCTTTAAGGGGGGAAGGGTTGGAGCTATATATTCTGTATAGTCACTGGCATTCTTATATGAGAGGAATCATGTAGGCTTGTGTGAATATTTTATTCCCCATGTAGCTCACATTAAATAACGCAAAGAGTTAATAAATTACTAACAATAAATATACCAGTCCACAACAAGAAGAGTGATAATAATATTTTATTTGGTCTTAAGTAACCTTGAACAGAATGTTTCTCTGCCTCCCCTAAACGCATTCATTAACAGATTAAAAAACAATGGTCATTTAATACATGGTTCATTTTTATGTTCATGCAGGCTCATTCCTCGGTTGAAAAAGCTGGTTTGATATCATTAGTAAAAGTGAGATTTTTGCCAGTGGATGAAAACTTCTCACTACGAGGAGAAACTTTGAAAGCTGCTGTGGAAGAAGATCGAAAACGTGGGCTTGTCCCCGTCTTTGTAAGTGAATCTGTGAATATCACATAATAAGAATTGGAAAATATTAAAATACACCTTGGCTGGATGATGTAGTCCTCTTACATATAAAAATACTTGACAAAGTGCCCATTGCCTGATGTGTGCATTGCAGATGGAACGTGACTTAAAGGGACACTCCTCAAAGTGGTGCAAACCTTTTTGATAAGGAAATGTTTTTCTGGGGGGAGGGGTCGTGGCTAAAGAGGCAGGCTTATGGTGCAGCATTCTGCAAAACATTTTATTATATGCAAAAAAACTATGAAGATTTGGGCATGCAAAAAAGATACAGCATATTAATGAGGCCAAAACCTAATTAAGTGCATTAAAGTAGTATTGGTGCCCAGAATTTTCCTTTTAGGTTTATTATTGGCTTATGCAAAAATCAAAAGTGAAAAAGGCAAGCATAAACAATATCTAAAGATGTGGCACTGTGGACATGCTAGAATGTATTAAGAAAAATATACCTATGCAGCATTCACCAATACTTAGCGCAATCCCTGCTGCTTCTATGAGCCGGAATACAAAGAACTGCAGTTAGCATTAACGGGGAGGTTCCTTTGCAAAGCCATGTCACTGGTGCCTTACAAAATGTGGGTGCTTCTCAGTTGTACTGTTGTGTTAGATAGACAGTGATAAAGTGATATTAATAGTAATAACTGTGTACTTGAATTCTGATGGCTTTACAACAACAGGACCAGGGGGAGCCAATGGGCTTCCAAATGAAACAGGATAGTCCAAGTGAGATAAAGCTCAGCTAAATAATAATGTGTATTTACAATACAGATTTTATTAGATAAAAGCCCTTTCTTTGAGATCTCAGTGATGGATCTCAGTGGAAACCCAAAGTTCTGAGTACCTTTTTCCCAACTCCTTCTTCTATAAAATGTGTGAAGTTTGTTTCTGATGTTCCCATTATGCATTTTGCTTACAATTTTTATATTTCATTTGTCCTCTGCTTTTTTCTTTCTCTAAGCATTTGTCTATATGTAGTTTGGGTTCATGTTGTGTCTGTAGGTTTCAGAAGCACCATTATAACTCACTTGTGTGCAATGTGGTGTATTTAAAAAAAATGTGGCCCTTTTAATTTCTCATTGTGAGGTGATAGGTCTACATAATTGGCAATCATGGATTCAGCATGGATTTATGCTGAACTAAACTGCAGAGGGGATAACATGGAGATTGGGGGTATCTTCTAATGGGGTTCTAATGGTGTATGGCCAAAAATATCTATGAGCTCTAGTTGCATTTGAGATGTAAAGGATATATTGCACTGGTTAGTTGTTTTTATTGATAACTTATCCCACAGTGGTATACACAATAAGTAAAGGAAGTATACAAGTAAATAACCTACATGAATCCTGAACTGGTATAGACTGTTATATTCTATTCTATTTTTCTAGGTTTGTGCAACTCTGGGAACAACTGGCGTCTGTGCGTTTGATAATCTTGCAGAGCTGGGACCAGTTTGTAAGTTATATTTTCTATTAAATGTTGCATAATGTTTATTATACATTCTGATCCAAATCTTCGTACTAACCTTTAACCATACCATTCAGGTGCCAAAGAAGGATTGTGGCTTCACATTGATGCTGCGTATGCAGGCACAGCCTTCCTGTGTCCAGAGTTCAGAACTTTTCTCAAAGGAGTGGACTATGCAGACTCTTTTACATTCAATCCATCGAAATGGATGATGGTTCATTTTGACTGTACTGCTTTCTGGTGAGCCCATTGTAATTAACTGCAGGAGGATGCAGATAGCCATTGTATATCCATCCTTTGCTCCCAGCTATATTTTAAGAAAATATATCACCAGTGCCTAAACGAGCCATTCAATCGTGTTAATCTATTGACTTGTGTTTAAAGAAAGGTCATTTTTTTTCTGGTCCATGTATATTATTTGAGCAAATGTTTGAAATTTACATTTAATGAAATGTATTTTTGAAACTGTGTAGGCCTTTATAATGTTCTACGTATCACTTTGTGTTATGGGATGTAATGATACATTGATCACTTTTCCCTTTTGTCACTTTCAGTTCTCCCTGTTGGGCTATGCAAACAGTGCATTTGTAAAAAGATTCAATTGGTAACATAATCGTAATTTGGGAGACTCCAGTTACTGTGTGATTCACTGGGATAAGGATAAAGGGCCGCCTTGCACTTGACTTCTCTTCCTCTGGATTTTAGCTCTAAAATCAATACTGTGAGCTTGTCTACACCCCATCAAGGTTCTTTAAATTGGCCTTTCTGTAGTGAGCAAGGCCAGATGCAGGAATCCTACATGGCTTGCACCTAAAAGAGTGCTCTATGTAGCGCTGGTCTTGGTCGTATTTCTTCTTTTTTTTAATTTTTTCTACACCTGAAAAAAGAATCGGTGCATCCCCACAAACCTTACCTTTTCAATCCCCGGGTATCTTAGTGGCACTTGACGATTCATTTTTTGATCACTGATTTTAATGACTGTTCTCTAAAAGTGTCATTTCTTAAGCATAATTCAAAAGAAATAGATGGATATGAATGAAACTCATTATTCTGATACTTGGTATAACTTTATAGGTTCAATATTTAAGATTGATGTAGTAGAATACCGGTGAAAAAGGATTTATTTTTTGTTCCATTGTTGATTTGTTCCAGTGTGTTGTATAACTCCCAGTCCAATGACCTTACAGCTACGGCATTGGTCTAGGCCAGGCATAGGCAACCTTCGGCACTTCAGATGTTTTGGACTACACCTCCCATGATGCTTTGCCAGCATTATGGGTGTAAAAGCATTATGGGAGATGTAGTACAAAATATCTGGAGTGCCAAAGGTTGCCTATCCCTAGTCTAGGGCAATGCTGGTAAATGTCACCCTAAAATAGAGGTAGGCAACCTTTGCCACTCCAGATGTTGCGAACTACGTCTCCACTGATACTTTGCCAGCATGTTCGCTGTAAGAGCATTATGGGAGGTGTAGTCCACAACATTAGGATTGCCTTTTTCACTAATGAAGGATTCGATGGTGGCCACATTTGTTCCCCATGTTTCTTCAAATGTCGTAAGCAAATGCACGAGTGAGCAACATAAATCAATCAAAATAAACAGAATCTCTAACGGAATTACTGGATGAACCATTAATTGCATTTCTGACATGTTCGTAGTTTTCATTCTGTTAATATTGAAATTCTTAAAAACTTTAAAATTGTGAAACCATTAGAAAGGCTAATTTGTATTATTCCTTCCCTCTTATTAGGGTGAAGGACAAATACAAACTTCAGCAGACCTTTAGCGTCAATCCCATCTACCTCAGGCATGCCAATACGGGTGCAGCGACTGATTTTATGGTAAGTGTGTGTATGCACTAAAAGGAAAGTATGTAGCAAAGTGTCCTACACTGTAATCTACTTTAGTATCAGCAAAACGATTCTCTATCTGCTGGGTTAATAATTTAAAGATTTACTGGTGTAGAATCCTTGCTTGTGATAGTTCAGACATGCTTGCTAACTTTTATTTTATTGTTTGTTTAAATAAATACAAAAGAAATCAATTATAGAACCCTCAACGCCAATATCTCCATGAAATAATTATTTCCTGTCATCATTTTTTTGTAATTTGTATGATTTATTGGACCTATTGTGGGGTGACACTATACTGTAGCCATCCGACTTAGCAAATATAAGCCAACATTAGTTCCTTTAATTTAATTGTTTTTTTAATGCTATGTTGGGTTTCTATGTTGTTTTTGTTTGTCTGTTTGTTTGTTTAGAGTTTTTTTCTTTTGTAATAAGACTCACAAGTCATATGTGATAGGTTAGAGCTTAGCAGTATAATTGTTAATTTACTACAACCCATCATTGGCTTCACACATAGCTGCCATTATTAAGGATTACTGTAGTGGAAATAAGAAAGGGATGGACTCCTATTTACTCACGTTCATACTTGGATACCACATTCTGGGTGTTTTGTAGAGTTTAGGAACCCTCTTATTATTCTCTACAAGTATATTTTCAACATGTAAGGAGAGAAACACTATATTGTTATCAGTTTTGGTTCTGTTACCTCTTTGCAGCACTGGCAAATCCCCCTCAGTCGCCGTTTTCGCTCTCTTAAGCTTTGGTTCGTGATTCGGTCCTTTGGAGTTAAAAATCTTCAAGCACACATCAGACACGTGAGTGTTATGTTGACATATATGGCATGAAGGTATTGTACTGGGGGAGTGCTCTCATAGCCTGCGCCTTCCACTTACCTCTGTTTAACTAAAGTGGGGATCACTTAAATAAAGATAGTTCCCAGGATCTGTTTCTGTAGGCCCAGCTATCAGCAAACATCCACACATTTTAATTATATAAATTTGTGTGTATATATATATATATATAGAAAAATGAAAAAAATACCGGCACTCTAGGCTTTCTTCATCCAATTTATTGTATGGTTCCCAAGTTGTCAACGTTTCAGCTCCCAATCGGAGCTTTCATCAGGACACATATATATATATATAACTATCCAAGTTAAGTCAACGTTTCGGTCCAAACTGACTTTTATCAAGACTGAAACGTCGACTTGAATATGTGCTAAGTAAAAGCATTAGTTGTTTATACTTTATAAGACGTCTGAGTGCACTCTTATTGCATACTTATATTTTGGCTGGAGCTGGCACCGAGGTAACTACAAGACTGGGGAAGCAGTAGTTAACCATAGTTGGTGTTTATACATGTGACTGCTTTATTTAAGCAGTACTATTTGATGTAGCTCTTTGCATTTCCTCACTAGATGCCAGTACTGGAGGATCTATGTGTTTTACTGCCAGCAAGGATGAAACAGTACAGTCATATTTGGTGCATTCAGAGGATATATTTTTTAGCTTGTATTAAAGTAAACATTCACATTGAAGCTTTTTAGCAGACAGATATTCCATTATGTTACAAAGTATTTGCATCTGATTGATTTCTATGAATTATTTTAGGGTACAGAACTGGCCAAGTATTTCGAGTCTCTTGTCAAGAGTGATTCGCTGTTTGAAATTCCAGCCAAGAGACACCTGGGATTGGTTGTGTTCCGATTAAAGGTAAAAAGGGTGCGCAGAGTTCTATGTGGCTGTGGGTGGCGGGACGAGCAAAGGAAAAGACATGGAAAACCCAGTGGAAAGTTATAGTTATTACTGGAAACATTGCCATCTGATGGGCATGACTACATATTAATAGGCAAAACCAGGCATCTCAGTGATCTGATATGATGAAAAATAATAATACTTTTTTGAATTTATTTTTTTGCACATTGCCAAATGTGTGCATTTTGCAGAAACTGGTTGAGCTATAGCAACTGTTAATAGCTTCTATTATGTCGGGATTTATGGAACAATACAGAAACTTCTATGCCTCCAACAAACTCGCACATTACAAATTTATGTAGAAGAACTACATTGCCTCTCCACAGACTTTAAATAATGAATGAACTGTCTTAATACCAGTGAATGAAAACTACTGACACAGACAGAAGTTAGTGACTACTTACTCAAAAGACATCATATAAACACATCTTTCTGTTCTACTTGTTCATCTATTCTAGATGAATAATAATAATAACAATAACAAAGTATTTAACCAGCACAGGTACATTCAGATTACTCTGGTTTCCAAGTACGTCCTGTTCTTAAATGAAAGTGATGTCGTTTGGTGCAAAAGAGTCACATTGAGTTGTGGAACTTCTTTTTTTATTCTTTATTTTAAATGATTTTGTTTTAAAATACATAGTTCCAATGCCCTGTGTACACAATGCATTTATTCTTATTACTAGCAATTATAAGGCGCCAACATATTCTGTAGTGCAGTATAATTGGAGGGAAAGGACAGTACAATATCCAATGTGAAAATACATCATAGTTGCCAACATTTGAAAAAGATTTGCAGGGACACTTTGCAGCAAAGCTATCAATTACTACCTTGAAAATTTACCACACCCATTTCCACAAAGCTCCACCCACTATGTCCAACCCACATAATTAATCTCCGCCTACTTACAGTGCAGATAACAGGGTCTACTGAATAAAGAGAGAATTGAGAATTGAGATGGTAATTTTAATTTAAGGCCAAAGTAGCCGAGTTGGAAACATTCTCCCATTCAGCTGCACTATTTCGACCTAAAGTTTGAAATTCCCACAATTCCCTCCATTTTCCCCCTTACAGAGTAGACCTTCATAACACCAAGTTCCCTCCTAAAGTACCATGCATCCTTGGTGTGCGATAGATACATGCGCAGCACAGCAACTATATCAGGCAGGTACATTTTATCACTTTAATGTGAGTTGGGTATTAGTAGTGACACTGTCAGTACAAATATACAGGGAGTGCAGAATTATTAGGCAAGTTGTATTTTTGAGGATTAATTTTATTATTGAACAACAACCATGTTCTCAATGAACCCAAAAAACTCATTAATATCAAAGCTGAATATTTTTGGAAGTAGTTTTTAGTTTGTTTTTAGTTATAGCTATGTTAGGGGGATATCTGTGTGTGCAGGTGACTATTACTGTGCATAATTATTAGGCAACTTAACAAAAAACAAATATATACCCATTTCAATTATTTATTATTACCAGTGAAACCAATATAACATCTCAACATTCACAAATATACATTTCTGACATTCAAAAACAAAACAAAAACAAATCAGTGACCAATATAGCCACCTTTCTTTGCAAGGACACTCAAAAGCCTGCCATCCATGGATTCTGTCAGTGTTTTGATCTGTTCACCATCAACATTGCGTGCAGCAGCAACCACAGCCTCCCAGACACTGTTCAGAGAGGTGTACTGTTTTCCCTCCTTGTAAATCTCACATTTGATGATGGACCACAGGTTCTCAATGGGGTTCAGATCAGGTGAACAAGGAGGCCATGTCATTAGATTTTCTTCTTTTATACCCTTTCTTGCCAGCCACGCTGTGGAGTACTTGGACGCGTGTGATGGAGCATTGTCCTGCATGAAAATCATGTTTTTCTTGAAGGATGCAGACTTCTTCCTGTACCACTGCTTGAAGAAGGTGTCTTCCAGGAACTGGCAGTAGGACTGGGAGTTGAGCTTGACTCCATCCTCAACCCGAAAAGGCCCCACAAGCTCATCTTTGATGATACCAGCCCAAACCAGTACTCCACCTCCACCTTGCTGGCGTCTGAGTCGGACTGGAGCTCTCTGCCCTTTACCAATCCAGCCATGGGCCCATCCATCTGGCCCATCAAGACTCACTCTCATTTCATCAGTCCATAAAACCTTAGAAAAATCAGTCTTGAGATATTTCTTGGCCCAGTCTTGACGTTTCAGCTTGTGTGTCTTGTTCAGTGGTGGTCGTCTTTCAGCCTTTCTTACCTTGGCCATGTCTCTGAGTATTGCACACCTTGTGCTTTTGGGCACTCCAGTGATGTTGCAGCTCTGAAATATGGCCAAACTGGTGGCAAGTGGCATCGTGGCAGCTGCACGCTTGACTTTTCTCAGTTCATGGGCAGTTATTTTGCGCCTTGGTTTTTCCACACGCTTCTTGCGACCCTGTTGACTATTTTGAATGAAACGCTTGATTGTTCGATGATCACGCTTCAGAAGCTTTGCAATTTTAAGAGTGCTGCATCCCTCTGCAAGATATCTCACTATTTTCGACTTTTCTGAGCCTGTCAAGTCCTTCTTTTGACCCATTTTGCCAAAGGAAAGGAAGTTGCCTAATAATTATGCACACCTGATATAGGGAGTTGATGTCATTAGACCACACCCCTTCTCATTACAGAGATGCACATCACCTAATATGCTTAATTGGTAGTAGGCTTTCGAGCCTATACAGCTTGGAGTAAGACAACATGCATAAAGAGGATGATGTGGTCAAAATACTAATTTGCCTAATAATTCTGCACTCCCTGTAGAAAGACCTTGTGCAGATGTGCTTCAGTCGGAGAGTTGTCTACACCATAGAACATACATTAGTTCACAAAAATAATTATATTGGGGAGTGACAGTAAAAAAAAAAAAGCTAAAAATAGGAAATGGAGGATATAGAAGGAGAATGTACAGAATGGAATTAATGAGAGAAATGGGAGCAAAAGGAAAACATATGCACATATTCCATTAGCCCCTCTTCATGTCCCCAATTCAACAACATGTTAAATGTCTCAGATTGAGACTTCAGTCACGACTCCACTGCTTCTGATTCTTCCAGTTCCAGGAGTCTTATACGTGTATTATAAAAAGGGGGCAGCACAATACAGAGAGCACTGACTGTCCCAGCTTATTATACACACAGACCTGTATTAAACAGGGATCACTGACTGTACTGGGATATTATACACACAGACCTGTATTATACAGAGAGCAGCACTATACAGGGAGCACTGACTATCCTGGGATATCATGCACACAATGACCTGCATTTTACAGAGGGCAGCACTAAACAGGGAGCACTGACTCTGTTATACAGGTCTATGTGTTTATAATAGAGACGTACAGGATACCGCACTCACAAGGTAAACCAAGGCTGGCCAGGCCTCCCTTGCAAGATGTTGCTCTCTGTATAATACAGGTCTATGTGTGTATAATATCCTGGGACAGAGAGCAGCACCATACAGGAAGGATATTGTGCACACAGCCCTTTATTATCGATAAAAATAAGCTTATACTTATATACCTCGAACAGATGCAATACATACATACAATTCATACACACAGACTGCTGAACACATTCACACACAGACTGCTGAGTACACGCACACACTGACTGCTAAATATACACACACACCAACTGCTAAATACACGCACACACACACACACACACACAGGGCCGGACTGGGGATAAATCTATGCCAGCCCCATAAGTCATTGTGCTATGTAGGGTGTCGAGATATATATTATTGATACATTTCTTCTTCTAATTGAAAATATTAGTCCTTTCAGGGTAATTAAATTATACAGTCCCAGCAAAAATGAGACAGTTGGCAACTAGGGCCGGGCGGAATGACTAATACAATGTCCGAGAGCTGAGCTCCAGTCACTGAGGCTCTTTTAGACAAAGAAAATTAAAGGAAGCTATTTGTAAAATGTAAGATTGCAAACTGCTGGAGAGGCATGCTATACATTTAGAAAATACATGGGTGGGTAGTGCTAATGAAAATGAAGAGTCTTGTTGCTGCTAACTGGGTTTGTGGACTGAGGCCCAAGGAGCAGAGATGGAGATGAGACATAGTTATATGAAGGTATTTACAGCCAGGAGGGGCAAAAAATGGAGTGAGGGGAGGTAGGTAGAGCAAACTTGTGTTGTATACAATTGAAAACTTTACCATCCAAGTTCTGTCACCTTAAATATTAATAACTAGCAGTACACGAAATAGTGGTGGAATACATTCATGAAATTATCAGAAACTTAATATTCAGAAAATTGCAGTGATCAATTACAGGTATAAACTGTAATATTGCTATAGTAACAAATAATAATATGGTGACAGACAGTAGAATAAATAGTGTGAGTATCTTTCAAACCTCAATCAGTACCAGAAAGTTGCAAGGAGAGGCAAAACAAGTCCCTATTCTGTAGCTAGCTAGATTTGTGGGGTGAGGCCTGAAAGTTGCAGGGAGAGGTAAAATCAGTGCTAGCTTTTAAAGTAATGCATTGCAAATTACTTGCAAATGTCCCTTTAACACATTTAGACAAGATCTGGAGAATATTACACTATTGCTCTGGAGAATAGTATAGTATATAGATGAGCAGTATTCACTGAGTGACTCTAGAAGATGTAGTCAGGTGTGAGCAATCAGAACATGGAAATATTCATGTCTTTCGTCTTTTGTGTTTTTGTCCACATACACAGGGTCCCAACTCTTTGACAGAGCAAGTCTTAGCAGATCTGACAAAGTCCGGAAAGATGTTCCTTGTCCCGGCAACGATTCACGACAAGCTCATTATTCGTTTCACGGTCACCTCTCAGTTCACAACCAAGGAAGATATTCATCGGGACTGGATTTTGATCCAAGAGACTGCTATCAATGTCACAAATCGTTTTCACAGTTCCCAAATCATAAATGGCTCAGTTCCCAATGAAGCTATTACTATATCAAACCCTCACATTAAGAGGATGGATGACCAAGAAGAGACTGCCCAGAGAGTCACTGTCCAGCCAAAGCATGGTGGATTCACTCCTAAAGAATGGATTGAGGACATTTATGAAGATAATTTGGATCCTTTTGATGATTGCTTCCCAGAAAATGTGCCAGTGGCTACCAAACTTAGGCCAACAACTTTCAAGTATAGGTATTGGTCAATACAAGATAAGAGAAAGTCTGCACGGTCACTGAGCTGCAACAGTGTCCCTGTGCATTCTCCGAGAGAGGCACCAGTGGAAAAGCTGGTTTTACAAGATGAACTTCAGAAAGATGGTAGCATCCTCTCCAAACTCCCTGGAAAGGTCATGATCCTTGAAAAAAATGCTTTTAGAAAATTAATAAAATTTTACAGTGTACCTAGCTTTCCGGAATTCAGCATCCAATGTGGCCTTAAGTTGCCCTGCTGTCCATTGCAAGCACTAGTTTAAAAAGGCAATGATTACTTAATCTTTGAATCTCTTTTAGCAATCTGTGGTACTGTATTCTTCTTACCGGGAAATAGGTCAATCTTATTCAGCATCAACTAGGAAATTTCAAAACTGTGGGAAAACCTGATAAACATGGCATACATATATCACGAAGCATGCCATCAAGGTGCGTTGCCAAATTCTAAAATCTCCTGGGGCGCATATCAAACATGATAACCCTCCCCCATAGGGATGCATTAAAGGCCAGTTGCCGATTACACCCTTTAACCCTTGCAGTCCTATATCCCTGATCCTGAAATTTTATTGCCCTAATACCCTTCACACCTTTGTGTCTCTTCCCGTCTCCCCAACACCCATTTTTGCCTCTCCCTCCACCTTCCATAAACCATCTTGATTATCTCTCCCCATATCCCTAAACCCCATTTTTGTTTCTCCTTCTCTCCATCTCCCCTTAGATCTATTGCTGTTTAATCTTGTGGCTGCAAGGAATGTGCTAAAGCTGGTCTGTGCTGGTTTGATTCGCTGCCACCTAGTATAAAATTATAAAAGCATTATTTTATTGCCACCTAAATGGGACTGGGTTGAAGAGATCCAGATCCAGGGCATTAGCCACTAATATCACTCCATTACAACTCATATGGTGCCATCCAGCATAAAACATCCCTTACATAACACCCCCTGCAACATGGAGATATGTTGGTACATTCAGTGGCTGCACAGTGGACACTTTAACACTAAAAAGGAAAGTAGGGTAAATAATGAGATCACTGTTGCTAATATACCAAACCCAAACCACATCAAAATGTCCACAAAGAAATATATTGCAATGGTCACGGTGCAACAAAGCTGCTGGTTACAACCTATTCCATGCTATTCTGTTTATTTTTGTATCAAATCTCCGTCACACATACTCCACCCACTTCCCTCTTTTGTCATTCTGTAGACATATAGTTTGCTTCCCCATTTAGCTGGTAGTGTTAGTATGATATGAGATGTGCTCCCTGCTCTGAATATTCAAGCCTGCTTTCTTAACTTGTGCAATCTGTGTTGTGAGAGCGCATGCACACTGCACTATTTTGTGTCTAGCAAAGAGAGTGTGTGCATATACCTCTATTCCATGTCTAGCTAAGAGAGCGCATGCAGACAGCACTGCTATGTGTCTGGCCAGTGGGGTATCCTGGTTTTGTGCTGCCCTAGGCATAGCAAAACTCAGCTCCCCTCCCCCGCGCCACCCCCCGCCATACCCCCTTCCCCACCTTCTAAAAACACACTCACACATTCACTGACAGACATACATACATACACTAGCTAACAGACATACACACTCACTAACAGACACATACAGTCACTAGCAAATACACACATTCACTAACAGACACGCATAGACTCTCACTAACAGACACACACAAACTAACAGAACCACACATAGTAACACACTCCCTGACATACACTCACTAACAGACACACACACACACATAAACAGACACACACACACACACTTACTAACAGACACACACACTCACTAATAGACACACACGCACTCACTAATAGACACGCACTCAGTAACAGACACACACACTCACTCACTCACACACACTCACTCACTCACTCCCTAATAGACACACACACACCCACAGACACACACACTCACTAATAGACACACACGCACTCACTAATAGACACACACTCACTCACTCACTGACACACACTCACTCACTCCCTAATAGACACACACACTCACTACTCACTAACAGACACACACACTCACTCACTAACAGACACACACACACACTCACTCACTAATAGACACACACACACACACACACATTAACCCACTTACTTTTTCTTTTAAAAATTCAATTCCCACAGCCTCCTTACCTTTGGGAATGCTGGAGCGGGGGTTCTCCCTCTCCCTGGGGCTGCCGGTCGGGCGGCGCTTGCGAGGGAGCACGGTGTCACTCTGCAGCGAACGAGAGAGCTGAGCAGAGAGCTCAGGGGAAAGTGCTCCCTCGCCAGCCGCCCGCACGACTGCCTGGATTGTCAGTTAGCCGCAAGGCTAACAAGCATTTGCCCTGGGCATTTGGGGGCGGCTTTTTTGGCCACCCCCTGGAAAATGCCGCCCAAGGCAAATGCCTTGTTTGCCTCGCGGCTAATACGTCCCTGCTGTGCTTACACTTTTATCGGATATTTCAAGAGTACTGACTTTAACAGCATGAGCAGGCATTGTATACTTACACCATAAAAATATTTGAACGGCAGAATTGGAAACCTTTAATTACACAAAATTCTGTAAGAGTGCAGGAGGTGGAGTTTGGACTTGAATAAACTGCTATTTAAAAGTATGTCATAAACTGTCATATAAGTATATCCTTCCTTTGCACAGATTGCACATAAAAATAATTCAGTCAAGTACTGCAACAAGTGTTTCCACAAACCATTAGACACGCAGCTCGCAGCATTGATATATATTATGACCTTTAGTCATGGTTTTTGAAAATGAATTATTGCTTGCCATTAATGTAAAAAATCATTTTCTTAGAAATTACTGTATCTGTCATTACATTCACTACAGCTGCTCTATTGCAAATAATACATGCTAATTATTTTCTTCAAAATCAGGTTAAAAGGTCCAACCCGTTGGACTACAAATTTAGATTCTTGTCCTACAAATGTATTTGACCCCTCAAGGATCTAATGGTACACTTTGTATACATCACAATCTTGTGCCCAGAGAATGTATGGGAGCATGGTTTGCCCTGTTTATTTATCTATGTTGGCTAAATGCCATCATGCACCCTTAAAGTGAATTGGCTATTGAAAAGTCGAGAACAGATTCTTTTGACAACAAAGACCATTAATTCTTTAGGGATTAATTGAGGCCACATGTTCCTGTGGATGGATGGAAGCGATTCAGGGTGTTGAACAGGCGCATGTTTACACATTGTATCTGAACCAATCAGTAAAATGATCATATACGATTTGTTATTGTGATTTCATATGTGATATATACATATGCATATATATGAATGTGCAATTAAATATTTTATTTGTATTTTAGGATCCACTATATTTGTCACTGATTTGTTAAAGCAACTGTTCTTATGAAGAAAAAAAAACATTAAACATTTACTTACTTTACTATCAATTTGGTCATATTGCATTCTTCCAACACCTCCCATACACTTGCTCCAGTACGTCAGCTTTAAAACAGAGAGTATCCAATTATAATGCATTAAAAGGAACAGAACATCAGTGGGTCTCATGAGGATTATGTATTTGTTTTGACACGAGATGCATGACTATTACCTACATTATCATTTCTTTGTCACTATCAGAGTCAGTAAATTAAATGAAAGAAAACGCATGTAATCGTGTACATAATAATCTTCTGTAAACTGAATCTCTACCAGATATCAATGGCCTTATTTGTGTATTCATAACTACAAACACTGCATCAATCTCTGTAGCCAGAGATGTCTCCACTCTCCAGTGATTGGCAGGGCAAAAGTTCAAACAAGATTAACACCCAGACCCGAAAGTATATTAACTGGTTTAAACTTTAGGCTCTAATAACATGCATTTCCAGATTAGGTAAAAAAAAGAATTTTTTTGCCAATATTACAGTCACTGCATTACTTTCCAGAGCCTTAAACTAGACTCCTGATGTGCAGGACACACTCTCTCTCCATAGACTACTTTTTCACAGAGTACCTACTTTATATCACTGATAGACAAACTATAATTTAGAGTGTATAGTACAGAGAACAGGCACAGTGCAGGGATTGGACTACACCCAGGTTAACTGATTAAATAAAACTTGGTCACAGTGGCAGAAAGCTCTGGAATTAAATGCATAAAGGGAAAAATGTAATCAGAGAATGCTAAATTAAGGGGTTTGCAGGTACTTACGAATATAGAGTCCCTCGATCACCCTTTACTAAGAAGTGAGCTGAAAGTTAAAGGGACACTATAGTCACCAGAACAACTACAGCCTAATGTAGTTGTTCTGGTGAGTATAATAGCTCCATTCAGGCATTTTCATGTAAATACTACAGTTTCATAGAAAAGGCAGTGTTTATATTGCTCCTACGTACACCTCCAAGTGGCCACTCGTTACATGGTCACTGGAGGGGCATCCTGGCTCAGGCCTGTACAGTAAACAGCCCTGCCACTCAGTGTCCCCATGCTCTGCATTGGATTGGCTAAAAATCGTCCATTTTGATGATGTTACAAATGGGGCAGAGCCAGCGCGGGCGGACCACGTGTCGCTGGAAATAAGGTGAGTTTTAACCTTTTATAGGGATGCTAAGGGGGGCAAGCCATCTAAATGGTGGGTTTAGCACTATAGGATCAGGAATACGTGTTTGTGTTCCTGACCCTATAGCAGAGGTGTATTAGCCGCGAGGCAAACAAGGCATTTGCCTTGGGCGGCATTTTTCAGGGGGCGGCAAAAAAGCCTCGCGGCTAACTGACATGCCGGACGGGCAGCGCTGGGCGGGCGGCCGACGAGGGAGCTCTTCCCTTGAGCGCTCTGCTCAGCTCCCTCGCGCTCCGCCGTCATATTCCGGCTCCCGGCCTCACTCTACTGGCGACGCGCGAGGCAGCTGAGCAGAGCGCTCAGGGGAAGAGCTCCCTCGCCAGCCGCCTGCCCGCCCAGTGCTGCCCGCCCACCCTGCACCAACTGGACCCCAGGACCCCAGGGAGAGGAAGAAAACCCCCAGCATTCCCAAAGGTAAGGAGGCTGGGGGTTAAATAAAAATAAAACACAAGTGAGTGTGTTAGTGTGTGTGTCTGTTAGTGTGTTTATGTTAGTGTGTGTGTGTCTGTTAGTGTGTGTGTATGTTAGTGTGTGTGTCTGTTAGTGTGTGTGTGTGTCTGTTAGTGTGTGTCTGTCTGTTAGTGTGTGTGTTTGCCTGTTAGTGTGTGTGTGTTTGCCTGTTAGTGTTAGTGTGTTTGCCTGTTAGTGTGTGTCTGTTAGTGTGTGTGTGTCTGTTAGTGAGTGTGTGTTTGCCTGTTAGTGTGTGTGTTTGCCTGTGAGTGAGTGTGTCTGTTAGTGAGTGAGTGTGTGTCTGTTAGTGAGTGTGTGTTTCTGTTAGCTAGTGAATGTGTATCTGTCAGTGAATGTGTGTGTGTGTATTTAGAAGGCGGAGCAGGGGGGAAGGGTTGGGTGGCGGTTGCGCGGGTGGGGGTAGCGCCGTGGGGTGCCTGAGTTTTGTCCTGCCTAGGGCAGCACAAAACCAGGATACACCACTGCCCTATAGTGATCCTTTAATGGTTTCTTTGTTCCCTGGAGCTCACTACCTTGGCATTACTCACCTCTCCACCATTATAAAGGAGCACTAGGGACCTGATGCATCTAAGCTTACTAATAAGAAAGAACTTACTTCATAGTGCCCAGTAGGACATGTTACAATGACTAGATACCCCCTCAAAACTGTTGCAGTAACCCTTTAATCGGTTTGCTGAGCATGGATATAATGAAATCTTGTACTGATGAAAGGGAAAAGTCACAAGTCAAAAGGGCTCACAGCAAAGAGCCTGTACTTTAACATGAAATGCTGGATAGATCCATATTAGAAGATATTACCAACTTTACTTGACTCGGACCTTTTTGTTCCTCCAGGCCTACATAATCATACAATGATTTATTCAACCTAGAGCTTCCTTATATTATATTGCTTTTGTTATACACATAATGCATTGTTTAAATAACAATCTACCCCATTCTGCTGTAATTGTTCATTATGTATTTTTGCTAATATTACAGTATGCAGATTGGTGTTAGCATTCACATTGAACATTATTACTTTATCTGTAATGCCAAATATATACAGTAGGTGTCAGCACCTGCACTATTAAGCTAGTATCTAGGGCAGCGATGAAAAACATTTTGGGGAGAGATTTATCAAAGTGTAGTAACGAGCTAAAAATGGACCACTCACTATAGAAACCAAAGGAACCAGCAGGCACATTCTGTTGTTGTTACATTTTTGCAACTCTTATTTAGAACCGAATACTCTGATAAATACCACTCTTGATGTCTAAGAGTAAAATGTTCTGCAGAGGTGCCCAGATCCAAATACTTCTAAAACCTCATGTTTCTTGAGGCAGTTCCATCAGTTATGGTGTTCAGCCCAATGTATAGCCAAAACAAACAAACAAACACACAAACGTACAAACAAAAAAGCTGTCTGCACATTATTCAAAAGCTCAATGATAATAAGAGAGGTTGACAGGGTTGTGAATACTTAAAGGCATATTCACTAAACTCTGGATTTTCACAGATTAATGGCAACATTTCACCCATGTGACCATTTTGGGAAAACTAAATTGGACAAACCACAATCATGCAAAAATGGAACTGTAAGTGGGGGATGTATTACATATTACTTGAACAATTGCTGGATAAAGAATTATGGAATGACACAAAAATACAAAAACAAAACTCATCCCTCCCAACTGTCTCAATTGTTTTGTCTTCCCAATCCTGGTTTACACTCTAGTGTCATGCTTCCTCTAGATCCCCTTTAGACACACACTTCACCACCTACACACACACACACACACACAGGGTCGGACTGGGGATTCCAAAGCAGCCCTGGAAAAAAAAAATGCCAACCCCATAAGTCATTGCGCCATATATTGTCACATGTAATATGTAAGGCTATGTCTTGCCACCCTAGATGATTGATATATATATATATATATATATATATATATATCTTTTTCCAATATTAATTATTTGGTCCTTTCAGAGTAAAATGTTTAATTATACAGTAAGCATACTCACATCCAGACACAGACAATCTCACTGACACAAGCTGATTGATACACAGCCTCATAGACAAACAATCTCACTGATATACATAAGGTCATTGACATAAAAACACAAGCTCACTCAGTAGCAGGCACACACACACACACACACAAGCAAGCCCACTCACTAGCAGGCGCGCACACACACACAGCTTAATGTAGTGGCTCTGGTGTCTATAGCCTGTCCCTGCAGGCTTTTCAATGTAAACACTGACTTTTTAGAGAAAGGGCAGTGTTTACATTGCTTCCTAGTGACAGACACTCAGACGGTCACAAGAGGTGCTTCCTGTGTCAGTGCGGATTGGCTGACACAGACAGAAACACACACACACACACCATGACAGACAGACACACCATGACAGAGACACACACATACCATGACAGACACACAACTTAAAAAAGACACACACACACAGTGGTGTATCCTGGTTTTGTGCTGCCCCAGCCATTGCATATGTTTTGATATCCAAGAGAGCAGAGTATTTTTGTGTATTTTCTGAACAAAGATCAAAAGGTTAAACAGTAAAGACAATTTGTAACGGCAAACTTTGTTCAAAATTACCATGGGTGCCAATATTACTGGAGGGCACTGTATGCATCTTTTTCACATAGTATTCTGGCATAATGTGGGAAAACTGGATAGAACTTAACTTTAATGGATTTACAAGGAACTACAATGTATCCATCTGCTCTAACTCCCTGGTGTATACAATATTTTACTATTATTATTTTCAACATTTATATAGCAACAAAATATCCCACAGCACTTACAATCAAATAAATGGGGATATTGGACAAGTAACTTTCATACAGAAAATAACAGAGACTATAGGTAAAGAAATCTCTGCTCAAACAAGTTTACTAGTTAATATTATCTTTGCCTCCTCACAATCTGCATTTATTAGGTGCCTCCTAACTATATTCTCTTTTGTAGGACTCATAACTGACTGCTTTCCTCTCTCCAAGCTGTTGGATCTAGAACTCATTTCTTGTAGGGGGAAAAAAACTGAAAAAAATGTGAATCAGCTCAAGGAAGGTGTAATTAAAACCGAAGTTGGTCCCCTGGCTCCCAACGCATCTGCCTCCTCTATCTCTTCTTCTTGGCTACCAAAGTATCAGGAAGGTTTGTTTGGTGTCAGATGTCACTTTCAGCCCATCACTGGCCACACATTGAAAGTAATGGCACATACACCCTGCGTCAGACTCCATAACATACAGGCATCATATATTAAAGCTTACGCCTGCTATGCCTAAGGCAGCATCTTCCTATGCTTTTTT